TCAAAATTAGGTTTGCTGAGCTGCGCCGAACTTGCGCGTGGCGATGTTTTGAGATTCTGCGAGGGATGGTGGGATTCAAGAGTGCAGTGCACTGGTTTCCCCCTCCCTTCCTCGCTCCTCCCCTCCCCCCTGCGCCCTGCACCTCCTGTGACAATGAAGATGAATTTTTCAAATGCGACGTTGCATATAATTGTTGTTCCGAAATGCAATGCAATATTTTGCTTGCCTTTATAGACACTGTCAACATCAATTAGTCATCGTTGTCGTTGCGGGAAGACGAGTGAAACAACACTGCGAAATGCCAGCACGCATCATGCAGAAGCCATCTAATATAACATTCCGCTCGCGCACAACAACATTCTTCTTTTTTTTGCTCGTTCTTCATTTCCAAAGCTTCTTCATTTCTTTTTTCAGCATGCATTTAAGACGACGAAACTGATCACTGGACTGTGAGAGAGAGAGAGAGAGCGAGCAGCTGCTGTCTCTTCTGGATGGCATGCTTATCATCTCACACTGCGGTATTTTCGCTGGGACATAACAATTTCTTTTTTTTGTCGAGAATTTTAGTGATGGTATGTGCTTTTATACTGGCTCTCACTGCTTTTTATGATTTTCTTTTTTTTTTTGCATCTATGCAATGCATATTTATCGAGGGGTTTTCTGTGTGTTTATATCCGCGGGTGCAACTCTGTACCAATCTTTCATCTTTTGAGATCAACAAAAGAAGCTACAAGGCTGTGACTTTGCGAACTTAGTCTAAGCGCGCGCACGAGCCCTTTACTGCCGAAAAAATCCCGCGTGGTTCCTACGTGCGGGTCCGTAAAAATTCTTGGCGGGTAATTCGCTAACTTGAAAACCAGAAAAGCTAGAAATCTGGAATTTTGAGGGGATTTTTTCCTAGCAGTCGTGGTGACTAGTCCCAGTTTTTTGAGCTAGAAGCATCTGCAAGAAAAATCGGTGCCATGAATGGCCAAAACCTGCAGAGAACTGTGCGAAAATGCACCTTTGTACCGGCAACCGGTGCGCTGGCCAATTATTAGTACTTTTAAAATATCTGAGAGCATTTCGTGCAGATTGGCCGGAACCCTCTTTATTCTGTGTTAATTATGAGAAGCATTCAGTAGCGCTGAAATGAATGCTGCGTTGCCAGCTCTTGTGCTGGAAGGAGTTGATGGGGCTTGGGCGTTTCGACGGGCATAACATTCTTTTTTTCCCCCATTTTGTCCTTTTTCGTTTAAGGGAGGTGTAATTAAGGTGTGGTGCAGACCTATTCTGCAATGCCAACATTTTTCAAGCTCATTTGAGTATCGGTGGCGAACACCATTCGCACTTCGCGGGCGACTTTGTTCGTCACCGCGAGCATCATTCGTGAAATGAACGAACCGGGTTAAACACGTACAGTGCGGGGATGGCAGGGGAAAGGACTCACCGGAAATAAAGACGATGCCAAATGCCGGCAAACTTCAGAGTCAATTAACCGTTGTTGACTTGAAGAAGATCAGATTGACACATACGTGTACTTTGTACATAAATCTGCGTCTTTAAATTTCATCCGGAAGCTATGCGTCCAGAGACTTCTGATGTCTAATTTCACGGCAACACCGATTGCCTGAAGTTATGGAATTGGAAGGACCCTGTCCACCTCTTCATCATCATCGTACAACAGCGTATTGGTGCTGGACAGGTTTGCCGATGAAGTCAGAATGCTGGCTTTGGTGAAGTGGATGGCGGGGCGAGAGGTATTTCTTGTTTCAACCGTGCCTGAGTGAATGGCCACGAATCCGGAGAAGCCGAGCGAACTTTACCACCGTTGTAGCTGGTTGAGAGGACGTTGTTTGTGTTGGAGCGGTAGGAACTGAGATCCGCCTCGATTGTTGGTAGCCCAGCAGGCCAGCGATTGAGCTTGCGTTTTTTTTTTTTTTTTTTTTTTTTTTTTTTTTTT